CCCCAAAACCCCAAAACCCCAAAACCCCAAAACCCCAAAACCCCAAAACCCCTATTCATAAGGATTAAGCTGACTCTTAGAAAATTAGCCCTGTGATAACATTGCTGATAATTGTTGGCAGCAGCAAGATGATGATCAGAATGCACAATATGATACAGATAGCTCACAGTATTTTGTTTCTAACATCTGGTGCAACGCATTGGTTTAGCATTGTCCAAGGATTCCAAGAAAACTTAATTCTTCCCACAGGAGGGGGAAGATATGGAGAATGGTTTGGCTCAGTCCTCGCTTCAGCATTTTTATTTGTCTCATGATATTCTTTTGGAGCAACTGTGATTTGAACTCTCATTTTTCCTCCTTCTTCTCCTTCTCTGTTCTTCATATCTACCCAGAAACTGTCGTCATCATGATATTTAAGCTCTTGGCCTCCCATGTATTCTTTTAAGAATGATTCATAATACTTTTTATTCAAATGGATAGGTTTGTCTGTAAGGGTAGCATCTTCAATTGGCAGAGCAAGATTAAGGGAAGCATCTGCTATAAAATCATTTCCTGAGAACAAGTCAGCATCCCATACTTGAAGATTAAGTCTCTGATACTGGCTTGGATTCTGTACATTAAATAGCATTCTGTAATTGAAAGAACCTTTACCGTCCATTGATCTATAGTGAGTATCAGTTCTTTTATCTTTATCATTTGCAATAAAGAATGCTCTGCAATAAATATCAGATGTTCCTTCCCAATCCATTGTTTTGATATCTTTAGTCTCCCATATTACAAGTCTGATGACAAAATCGGTGTTTGGTCTTGGAGAAATGTTCCATGGGATATGCTCTTTGACATTTGATTCAGACGGCAAGATTTCAATCCAGCATTTTATTACTCCTTGGCTGACCTTTGTTGATTTATGATACAGCTGTCTGTATTCAATTGGCTTGTTTTTAATACTCTGCCATTCAGGAGAGAAGAATCTATCCTCTAGGTCGACTACTGTTTCTCCGATGAAATCGTCTCCAAAGGCTAAGTCATAATCCCACATTTGGATTTTGAGTGAGCTACATCCAGGGAATTCTGACATGAATTCAAACATCTTGTAAATATCTGGGTTATGATTGCTTTCCTTATAGTTATCTCTATCACTGATTACTTCTCCATTGAGTTTGAGCTTTAGATAAGGATCTACTGAGCCTCCACTATCTTTTGGAGGAAGCTCATCTGCATCGAGAATATAGATCCGAACCAAGCAGTTAGTCCTGATCATCATTAGTCTTGCCAACTCGGCTTGGCAATTCATTTGAGTAAAATGTCTTTCAATTTGCAAATTATCACACCCAAGTTGCTTTAGTTTTGCCCTGAAAGTCTCCTTACCTTCAGCTGTAACTATAGTATTATAATCAAAATCAAAGTCCTCCTGGAATAACTTTTGAGAAAGATCATTTAAAGATTGCTTGAGGATGGTGATCCTGGTCTCTTTCACTACATTAAATCCTTCTTCTCTATCTTTATTGATTACAGAGACAATTCCTTTGAACTCTCCTACTTGTTTGATTGTGGTTGCTTGTCCAGCCTCATCTGTGTCTCTTTTCCAGAAGAAGCCTTTAGAGAGCCCTCTGGATTGCCCTCTCATAACTGGGAAAGATTGGAAAGGAGAATTAGGAATAACCTCTTTAATGTTCTCTAATTCGTCTTCATAAAATCTTCTATAGTGCTTCTGCTTGGAGTCAAATTTTGGGTCATAACCAACAGCCAGGAATACATCCTTCGAGGGAGGAGGATCTTCTCGATGAATTTTAAGTCTATCATCAAAGTGGTAAGTAGGGTATACAACATTCTTTCCGATATTCTTCATCATTTTAGTCATTTTCCTGAGCGCTTCAAGTCTTTTATGCTTTGTTCTTTGCTTTTTAGCTTCTTTATAGTCAATTATTTTTTGAAGTCTTCCTTTAATATCTGCCACATCTTCTTTTTCTTCATCTATACGAATTATCAATCAATTTTACCATTATTTTTGACAATGTTAAGTGCATTTTGATTTTCAGCTACTGAAGGTGCATCTTCTTTACTTATAGCTTCTCTGATGCGGTCTTGTAAGCCAAGCTCGATATCATCAGCACTGACTATTTCCTCCTTAAGCTCTTCTCTGGGACTTATGGACTTTTCAACGCCTAGCTCCATCCGCTGTTTCATATCATTTCTGTACATTTCTTCCTGCTGGACTTCTTCTTCTCTTTGGGCTTCAATTTCACCTTCATTTTTCTCCTCTTCTAGCTGTGCTTTGACTGTCCCAGCTCTGTTGATGAGCTGGTCAAGGGATTTGATGATCCGAAGAGTGTTCTGGTCTTCTTTTTGGAACAAGTCTTCTTGTAAGTGTTGTAAGTCTCCGATAGGGATCACGAAGTTTCCGACCAACGGCTGAGAGACCCCTTTGAAGATGTAGTCATATACTCCACAAGTCAGAGATGGGCAGTATAAGGGATCTGATGGGAGGTAGATGGTAAATTTTATGACAGTTGAGATTGTTGGGTTTGCTCCTGTTGCTGATGGCTGGGTCTGAATATTCTCAATAGCATGAGCCCTACTTGGAGGTAGAAGAGATCTCAGTATGAATTTTATAAATGCTTTTCTGATTGGGAGGATTCCTGGAGATTCAAGATCTCTTAGACCGAGTACATTAATAGTTATTTCATATTCTTCACATGTTGGTCTCAGTACAATATCGTAGAGAGATTGAGAGAATTGGTATCCTGGATCAAGAACAGAGAAAGATACCAAAATTTGCCCCATCTCTGGTTCATCCTCAGTAAACCCAAGCTTAACAGGGTGCCATCTGGGTCTTGGAACTTCGTCTCCTTGCGAAACAGCTGCATCTTGAAGGTTAATAGTTGCTCTTCCAATAAAATCGTCTGAGTCAAATGCTCCTGAATCATGGTCAAAAATATCTAAAACTACAGGAGGAGCCCAATCAATATCGACTGAGTAGAAAAATGTTTGGACTGTCTCATAGAATATAGGATTATTATTATCGTGTACAATTTCAGTCGATACGATTTCTTTCTGACTATCTTTTGGCTCGAACGGACTCCAAACCTTAATATATGGATCTGAAGTTCCATTATCATCTGAGGCAGGAAGCTCTTTACATTGATAGATATGACACCTAATCGGGTACTTATCTGGATCATCTGACAAGTCCATACTCCATGCCGGAACAAAATCCCAATCAACATCTCCGTTGTTAGTTTGATCGTGAATTGATAGTCTAAATGATATCATTCCTGCTTTGTGAGATTCTGAGACTTGGCCAACAGACTTATCATTTATGAGAGCTACCCATCTCATGTCGGCATTTGGATTTGAAAATTCACTTGCTTTACATCTATAATAGCAAATTGGGTCGTCGCCGTCCATCAGATAGACTATTACATCTGCCATAGTTTCTAGAGACCTATAAGGACACTCATAGATCTTCTCTTCAAATCTATGATTCCAATATCAGAACCCATTAGTCCTTTTCTTTGGCTTTTTTGTTTCCATTTCTAGTTCACCAATCTTAATCTTTACTTTATATTTTTCATCGCCTGGAAGGCAGATTCCTTGACATACTTCTGCTTTTACTTCATATCTCCAGTTATCGAATTTATCTCTTGCCTCATTTATGACTTCATCAGAGATGTGACTAAGCTTCATTTCAGGTTTATTCTCTTTTTCGCATACAACTTGCATGAGGATTCTTCCTCTCCAGTGAGAAGCGTATTCAGGAACTGAGTTCATTTCATTTGTGTGCTTTCCACTAACATCTGTGGGTGAACCATAGATATCCTTCCAATACCAAGGGAACTCTTGGTTCCTTCTGGCTTCTTTCAGGATATTATGAAGTTCAAAAGACATTGAACCAACAATATCATCATTGGCAGTATCGCTATCATAGACGCTCATTACAAGTCTGCTAGAGACTAAGGGGTAGTGAACTGGAACCCAGATCTCTTGTCCCCAGAATACTTGATCCTTCTTCTGAGTCACAACGCTGGTTTTTATGGTTTTCCCAAGATATTTTACCTTAACAAAAGCATCTCAGCTTCCAAAGGTATCCATCTTTGGAAGATTCTGAGCTTTAAGGAGTCTGAATTTTAGCTGATAGTATTGCACTGATATGGAAGGTGGCAATAACATAACTTCTTTGTCAGTCCTGTCAAGTCCATAATCATCAGTCAAGGGTATTTGTTCATCACCTTGCCCAATTACAGATGCTGAAATCTTCAGATACCCAGTAATTTCATTGAAGTTTTCCGTATTGGGATTGGAAATTCCAATCCATTGGTTAAACACAGCATGCTTCTCTTGGAAGTAAATATAAGAAAGATCCATTTCATACGTTCCAACAACAGCATTCTTAAACATTTGTTGGTCAAGGATCTTGATCAGGATCCTTCCATTCTGTATATCCCTTGGCTTGAGTGCCTTTGGCTCGAAGAAGATATGCTCACCCCAATGTACAGAAGCATTAGGTCCGATATCTTCCTTAACGGTTGTGTATTTCTTCTTTCCTAAGCTACTAATTTCAAGAATAGCATCAACAGTGTCTGAGCCTTTCATCCTAAGGTTTCTCGCCTCTTGAATAAGGATGTGGATGAGGTAGTCTCCTTTTTTGATGACTCCAACCTCATGCTCCTGATCAATAATGTCCATCTCTGCTAACTCTTGCTCTTCTTCTTCCTTATTTTCTTCAGACATTTTTTAAAATAAATTTTATGTGAAGATTTCTTGGTGAAAGAGCATCAGTTTATGATTGTTGTTAAGGGGTTTTGGGGTTTTGGGGTTTTGGGGTTTGGGG